GTGATCAAACCCAGGTCTCCTGCATTGCAAATAGATTCTTTACCAGCTGAACCACAGAGGAAAGCAGATTAGTGGTTTCCTAAAATGGAGGAGAAGGGGATTAGGAAGCAGTGGGGAGTATAGGGTTTCTTTTTGGAGGTGATGAAATTGTTCTAAAATTGATTGTGATGATAGTTGCTCAACTCTGTAAATAAATAAAAAACCATTCAACTGTACACTTTAAATTGGAGAGTTGTATGATATGTGTTATATTTTTTATTAAAATTGTCATAATAAAAAATGTTATATGTCCATTACAGAAACTTGAGAAAATTCAGAAAAGCAAAAAGAAGAAAAAAGAAGCTAAAGAGAAATTAAGGAAACAATCCCACTTACCACTGCAACAAAAGAATAAAATACCTAGGAATAAAACTACCTAAGGAGGTGAAAGACGTGTATGCACAAACTATAGGACACTGATGAAAGAAATCAAAGATGACACAAAGAGATGGAGAGATATACCATGTTCTTGGATTGGAAGAGTCAATATTGCAAAAATGACTGTACTACCCAAAGCAATCTACAGATTCAATGCAATCCCTACCAAATTACCAATGGCATGTTTCACAGAACTAGAATAAACAATTCCACTGACACTGATTTTTTTTCTGTTTCCCAATTGGCCTCAGGATTGGTTAAGCCAAAACTTCCTCTCCTGAAATATACAACCTCTCATGATTCATTCTGTTTACTCCTTGAACATCATCTTTCATCATTTCCACACTGGCACCAAATGTTTCAACCGTAACAAATTGTTTTTCTCCAAACATTGCATGCTCTCTTGCAAGTCTCTGCACTTGGACACATCATTCTCACTATCTGCAACTGTTGGTCCCTCCCTTCTTCATTTGGCCAATTGTATTCATCCATCAGATTTCAGCTTAAACATCACCTTCCAGAAAGCCTTTCCTGATCCCTGGGATTGGGTGTACCTCCTTGGTATCTAACAGTTCTCTATGCGTATTTCTATCAAATCATTCACACTATGTGGATGTTTTAATTAAAATTTACTTATGAACAAAACCTCCAAGATCTCTGGGACAATATAAAAAGGTTTCATATTCATGTCACAAGATCCAGAGGGACTGGAAAAAGGAATTGGTGCAGCAATGGCTGGAAATGTCCCAAAATTTGATCAAAGACATATTTACACATTCAAAAACTCAATGAAATCCAAATGTATAAACATAAAGAAAATCCTGCCTAGACAGATAACAAAACTAAAGAACACTAAAGATAAAGAAAAATTGTGAAAGAATATAGAACAAAATGACACATAATACACAAAATATTAACAAAAATTTGAAATACTGTGGATTTCTCATCAGAATCCAAGGAGGGCAGAAAAGAATAATGTCTTTAAATCACTTAAAGGGAACAACTGCCAACCTGAACTCTATATCCAACAAAAATATTCTTCAGAAATAAAGGCAAAATAAAGATATCCTCAGATGAAGGAAAAACTAAGAGAATTCATCAACAGCTCTAAAAGAAATGCTACAGAGAGTTTTTCAGGGTGAATATAAATTATACTAAAGAGAATCTTGGAACTTTGGGAGTAAAGAAGTGAAACAAAAATGGTAAATATAAAATACTATTCCCCCCCATTAAGTTCTTTAAAATATGTATGCCTGTTGAAAGCAAAAAATTGTAACATTGCCTGGAGGAATTTTTAATGTATTCAGATATAATATGTATGAAACTTTGAAAGATTAGAGAGGGATGGTAAAGTGTTATAATGCTTTATTTCTTAAAAATTTATTTATACTAAAATTCAGTTGAGTTTTGAGAAATGCAGACAATTGAGTAGGCTTCCCAGTTGGTGCTAGTAGTAAAGAACCTGGCTGACAATGCAGGAGACCTAAGAGATGGGTTCCATCCTTGAGTGGGGAAGATCCCCTGGAGGAAGGCATGGCAAGACACTCCAGTATTCTTGCCTGGAGAATCCTATGGGCAGAAGAGCCTGGCGGGTTATGGCCCATAGGGTCACAAAGAGTCATACAAGACTGAAGTGACTTAGCAGCACATAGACAGTGGTGTAACCAACTCGACAATTGATACACAAAGTTTCAGAATGATGAACCAAATCATTACTCCCCAAATGATCCTCAGGTTACTTTGTATTCCTTTCCTCTCTCCTGTTCCCACCTCCCCAGGCAACCAATGAGAAATTTTACATCACTATAAGGTAGTCTGTATTTTTGAGATTTTATGTGAATGGAACCAGGCAGGATACACCCTTTCCCCCCCTTACTTCTTTCACCCAATGTTATTATTTTGAAAGTCATTTATGTCGTTATCCAATACATATTGATACATGTTCATGCACTGGGTTTATTCTGGGAAGACCAAGTTGACTGACATTATATACGTGCATACTTAAGTATACACATGAGTATGTAAATTAGAAAGGTAAAGATTCTGAGAGAAGAATTTGGTGTGCTATTTGCACACTTCTTAGTATGGTATTATGGATGCACAGATGGTAATACAGATGTAGGGAAGATGTTACCACTTTCTGGGGACAGCATACTTCCATTGAACAGCTGAAGTTTCAGGCATCAAATGGACATTATTATCTGATTAATAATCATTATATGATTACTGACCAGAAACCTTGAGTTGTTATTTATTTATGTGTTATTTAGCCTCTCTGTTATAAGTGTGATGATGTTTTATCCTCTCCGTTCCTTCATGTCATTTTTGAAAAACAGAGACAATGACAACACTGTTTAAGTGAATTCAGATGAGTTCTCATTTCTAAAGCATTGTACATGGAGTCTGACACATCGCAGGCAATCAAAAAACTGTTAGTTCTTTTTCTTTTCTACCTTTTTGTTTGGGAAAAAATTTCTCATTCTTAAAAAATGGTAGAGCATTTGAGTTTAAGCATGATATCATAGTGCCATCTGGTGACCATAGAGAACTATTACCTTATCTGTATTGGATACTTCATTTCTGACAAAGTTCAACGGCTTCAAAATATCCTGGACTTAGGAATTCATCTCTAGTGTGTCTGGGTTAGTGTTGCAAGGACAGGGAATGAGGACTGTGCTTGAGGACAGTCCTGTGGAGGTTGGAAATGCCTCCTTTGTGTGGGCATCCTCTCCTGTCAGGAGGCAGAGTTCAAGGAATAAGGAATTTTCTTCACAGCCTACCCTAAAATGGGCAGAGGACAAGTTGAGTGTGGTAGGAAGTGTGTGAAGTCTTGAATGACCTGGCCACTGTAATTTTGGCCTTGAGTCTAATCTCAGAGGGGTTTCAAAACCATGTAACCCCGGACACCACACAAATATCCCGACTAGAAAAGGAATCCCCTTCTCCAATCTACCAACCCCACTCCCACCTGGATGAATAGAGCCGAGGCTTCTACATCCATCAGACTCGTGCCTGGGCTCAGGTTATACCAAGTACCCCTTCCCTCACTCCACTCGCCCACCCCTTGAACAGCTCCCAAACGAGTCTTTGCAGATGGCCACTCTTGTCATCTCTCCGGTGCCGCCAAATCAAGTCAAGACTGATCAATTAATTAAATGTGAACTTTATTGTGCTTTGGATTATGTAAGACAGTGTGGTGGAGACAGTGGAGAAGTTAGACTGAAAAACGTGGTAGGAAAGAGTGAGCTAAAAATCATCTACAAAATAATTTTTTAAATGATTGCGTGCTGAACTAGACTAAGAGCTACAGCTATGTCATTGTATTCATTATTGCGGAAGCATTGAGATATTCTAGGAGTTGGAGGTTGGAGGATGGGGAGAGGCTTCATGGAGGATGTGGCATTTATGCTGGGCCTTGAAGGAGGGGTAAAATGTTGATAGATGAGGTGGAGGGAAGAAATTTCAGAGAAAATTCTGTAGAAGGACTGAAAAAAAAAACAAGAGGGCAAACAAACACCCCCAGGGAGTGACACTTTCCAACTGGGAAGCCTGAGGGGGCTCAAGCCTCCAGATGGGGTCTTCAGTACCAATGATATTAGAAGGCACAGGGCAACGGGCTTGTTTGTAAACCTAGCAGCAGCAGGAGGTTTCACATTGCAGTCAGGGGCCCCAAACTGGCTGAACTACGCCTGGATGGACTCTTTCATCCTTTCATCCTGTGTGGTCCTTATTCATCCTTCCTCTTGCCCACTGACTGCCTGAACGGTAGTTCGTGCGTGCCCACGTGCACGTGTGTGAGTGTAGGTGTGTGTGGATGGGTGGGGGACCGAGGCTTTGTCTCCCACTGCAGCTTCTTCCACTTTTCCCTCTTGTGGCACACAGCTGGTTTCCGTGGAGCTGGAGCTCGGGCCCTTTCCACTGTCTGAGCCTCAGGGAACTCTAGCTCTTGATTAAGCACCTAGGAAACTTCCTCAACATGAAGGTAAAACCTACTGTGGGGGGTGACTTGGATTAGGGCAGGACTACTCTTTCCAGAGGTGGAGATTGATGGTGGTGTTGACTGATGGTGGTGGTAGTGATGGCGGTAAGGGCTGGGGACATATGAACAGACTCTGGCTGCTGTGTAAAATTCTGCTGGGACTGCTGTAGTGTTCAGTCAGGAGCTGGGATGTCAGGCTAGACCTGCTTGGCCTCGATCACCCCTCCCCCTTCCTCAACATGCCCTACAGGGGAGACATACGGGGAACCCGAAAACGGCAATGACACTGGTAGAGTATCCAGGCTGATACTGTCCTGCTCGACTCTCACCCCCGGAAGCCCCAGAGATCTTTTTTCTTGGCCAACATCTGTCTAATCTCCAGATGGGACTGTCACCTCCCCCTGTCCAGCTGCTGGAGGTAAATAGGTTATGTAGCTACTTATGCTACTCAGATCAAGAGGTATAGGGAATTTATCAGAAGAAAAGGAAAGTTAATTACTGTGAATTTCTCTCTCAAAAGATTAGGAATCCTAGATAAAATCTAGCATCTGACAGAAAATGAAAGGATGGAAGAGCTCTGTCAGGCTTCCCTGGAACTGGACATTTAGAGCTCAGTGAGGTCATCGCTCGAAATAACCTTGAAGCTGATGTGGCCTTGTTTCACTTTGGCGGTTGGGCCACCCTTCTTACGCAGGTACAGGGACTTTAGTTCACGGCAGTCACTGGGGTCAGCATCCAGAGTAACCTGGCCCAAGAACTGATCACGGAACTTTCGCTTGTTCCATACCTGGAGAGACAAGTGAACAGAGTGAAGGTGAGTAACCCTCTGTGACACTGGACTCTGTCCAGTGTCCCTGTGGACCTAATGCTGGACTTAGAAAGGGCTATTTAAAAACCAAGGACTTTTTCCTAATACCGCTCTGAGTAGGGGAAAAGTACCTCAAAGAGCAGAGATGAAAAGCAGAGTTCAGGATCAAACTTGGCAGCTGGTCAGAAGCAGTAAGTCAGGGGAACACAGCCAAACCATAGTGATCCATCCTGACCTAGCAGGTTGAGGGCCATGTGAACTGGCATATGCTTCCCTACATGGGAATTTGCCGCGCCTGTGTTAGCATGTGAATCTGACAGCATGTGGGTTTCTGCCCACAATTAAATATGTGGAGGAGAAGACAGTTAGGATGGACATTCATAAGGAAGTCAGTGATTGTGCCTGGTGGGAGGTATCTGAGTACAAAACAAATAACCCAAAATAACCCTTGCTCTGTATTCTAGCCATCTGTGATGCAGTTGGGATCATTTAGTATCTAGTAGTGAATAGGAGCCACTCTCCGGGTCCCTGTTCACATCCTTACCTGCACTATAATAGGAATGTCAGTGGTCCTTCTGTAGAAAATGGCCTGGGTGTCAAAAATGGCATGAACGGTGTTCTTTTGGACAGGAGAACGGACTTCTTCCTTTCCACACTTGATGATCAAATATGGGTTTACAGCTGGAACAAAAATTTTGAATGCAGTGATGAAAAGTCCTCTTCCTGGATAGTCAAAATGATCTCACTAAGTCTACTTAGGGATTTTTAGCATAACACCTGGTTAGTAGAATGACCTAGGACTTTGGTGTCTACTTTCCTTTTCTTTTCTATATTTTATAGAAGGATATAAAAATGAATACTAGATAGTCCTTGCCCAAAGACACTTATATCCCATTTTCTCCTTTTTAATTGAAGTGTAGTTGATTTACAACATAGTGTTAATTTCTACTATATAGCAAAGTGATTCAGTTTTATATATATATATATATAGCCAAAATGTTTGTTTGGGTTTTCTGTAAGATGTGGAAAAGCCCAAACAAGCTTTTCTGTCAATCCTTTATATATATATACATATGCATATATATAAATATATCCTTTAAATATATATACATATATATAATATATGCAATATATAATGCTTTAAATATATATGTTTATATATTTTATGTATACAATATATATACATTATTTTTAACTATTCTTTTTGATTATAGTTTATCATAGGATATTGAATATAGTTCCCTGTGCTATACAGTAAGACCTTGTTTACCTATATACCATTTTCCTAACTTGGTTGACAGCCACTCTGACTTTTCTACACTGAAAATACCACTGGAGAGACTCATCGGTGACCATCTTTCCTAATCATATATGCAATAAGTGAAACTGCATTTTGCTTTCCCAGACACCCGTGCATTTCTTACTTTCATTGGCATACTTCTTCTCCAGTCCCTCAGCGCTATGCACCGTGATCTGGGTGACAACCTTGGGGTAGCCACGAGCCAGATTCCAGCAGGACATCTTGGGCATGTCCAGAGTCAGCTCCCTGGAACATCAAAAGGAAGACACGTCATCCACGATGAATGCCCTTTGATGAGGAGAAAGGCTAGCCAAAGCAGACCTCGTTGTTGAAAAACATGAAATGTCAAGGGGCCTAGCCCATTCCTCCCCAGACATGGCTTATATTTTATGGGTATGTTTTCCTTTCCCTTTGCTTTAAGGCCCAGAAGATAAATATCAGAGTAGGCAGGGCTGGGGTGAAAAGGTAGCTTTGGTGACCCAGCATTCAGAACATAAGAGAGATGCAATGAGGAGGGCCAGCTGTTTAAGAGAAGAGTCAGCCAGAGAACAGATGATAAAATATAAGCAGAAAAACTTAGGCTATAGGCCCGTTCTCCTTAAATGGCAGCTCAGAGCACTGAAACCCAGACCTCCGCGGGGAATTCCTCACAAACCACCCCTCTTTGAGACGTGGTTCTCCTGCCATCATTTCAGTTAAATCTGACTTTCACAACTTGGCCCTCTGAGTATCCATCTAGGGGGAGAGGGCCAATGGGGTTAGGACTTGGAGGCAAAGCCCAGAATAGGAGTTGGCAGGGCTAGCCAAGGAAACAGCACCTGAGCTGGACAGGCACTTCACAGAAGATTCTCAGGAGGAACTCGCTGGTACGACCATGCTGGAACATGGTTGGGACAAGCACATAGTTGCCCTTCTTCAGGTATTTGCTCAGAAACACGGTGCGTGTGTCGATGTAAGTGGAGGTCCCGGCACGCTCCTGAATGTAGAGGTGGTGGAGGCGGAATTTACGGTTCAATTCCACCTGGAAATGCAAGAGAAGGAAATGCTCCATTGCACTCATATCATAGTTGTTGGTTTTTTTTTTTGGTTTTGGTTTTGGAAGATTCTAGGTCGTCTTACTAGCTTCATCCCGCCACCTTTCTTAATTCCCTTAACCCCAAGGCATTCTAATTTTGATGCTGTTTGCCATTACCGTCTCTGCTCCAAAGGCCCATTCTTACCTTGAAGAGCTCAAAGCCGATGATGTAATTGTCAGGTCTTCCCATGCGGCGGTAAGTGCGCAGGTCTTTTTGCTGTAGAGACATGATGACCTTGTGCCCATCCTCTGGCACAGTGAAGATGTACTAGAGAAAAGAGGCCACCAAGGAGCTTAGTTAATGCACTTCTGTTTTAGGTGGGTCAGCTCAAATGTCAGGGTGGAAAACTCTACCTCTTGAAGCAGAGACTTGGGTTATGTTTTGGGCTTTGCCACTGACCAGACAATGAGAACTTGGATAATTCATTGACTTGCTAACTGTGGATTCTAATGTTTGTTCTTCCCTATGGCATTCAGCATGTGTTGAGAGACACAACTTCATGCCCAGGCCTCTGATTCCAAAGAGGTATGCTTTCTTTTAATAAACAATTGGTTAGGCTCTTGGTCTTTTTTTTTTCCCAATTATCCCCTTATTTTTTAAGTTGTACATAAGAAAAATCAAGAATCTATAAAGACAGAAAGCATTCTTGCTTGACTTAACCTGACACAGCAGCATTCCCCTAGGCTAGCCTCTTTTTGCCATCCCAGATGTGTGACTTGTGGGAGGGGTTGGATGCAGTTCCTTGGTGAACTGATGCTCCGCTATCACTATTATAGGGAAGCTACAGGGCTGTGTTAGAGACTTTCCAAACATAATTTGGGGAATCATGCCATTGGGAAGTGAATCTAAAAGGCATCATATTTTTCTCTCTGCCTCTGTCTCTCTCTCTCTCTTTTTCTGTTTCTGTCTCTGTTTCTGTGTGTGTATGTGTGTGTGTGTGTGTGTCTTTCTCTCCCTCCTAGAAAGAAACAGGAAACAGATGCAAAATCATAGGTTCACAAGGCCCCCACAGATCTATCCTGTGAAGACACTTAAACAGTGAAGCCAAAAAAAGCCCATTTCACCAGTTTGGTATATTGCCTGACAATTAAAGCATTTCCAGGGTTGTAAATGAAGGGAGGTGGTAATAGGAGCTTTCATCTCTTTAGGGACAATTAAGGTAGAAGGAAAGGAGAAAAGTATGAGTTAAGTAAAGCAGCCCACCAACTTTAGTATCTTTCAAAATGGCTACCAATGAGGTTCATGGAAAGAAAACACCCATGGCTAAGGCTGCAGTACAGTCAGAATTCTTATCTCCTGTGGGCTAGCTCATCAGCACATTTGTGGATCAAAGCATCAAGGTTATCATAGGTTAAGGATTTGGATGTTTGTAAATTTTGCTTTGAGGTGTGCCCGGGCTTGACCTCTAATGTGTCACCTGGCATAGCACTGTAATGGGAGATGAATGGAATGGGTTCATTGATATGGTAGTGATTCAAATCCTGGGAATAATGACCTGGGATTCTAGATGAGAAAAGGGAGTCATAATGATGGGGTTCAGGAGAATCACCTGCCTGAGAAAAAGGACACATATAGTCAGTGTGCACCCCAGGGAGCAATTAGGCAGTAAGATATAAAAAAGAATTGAGAAAGCAGCAAAGAGCAGATCCTCTCTCTCCAATGTGGGGCCATCACAAGGAAGCAGGGCATGTCAAAGCATACCCAGCAATATAGCCAAGAGAGAGGCAGCCAGAGGAGGTGGCTTGGATTTGATAATGTTGCCAAATTACATATCTGCAAAGAGACACAGTCTACTGTGCTTTACAAGCATCTGAGCCAATCTGTCTTCGTCTTGGTTGATGAATATTACACAATAGTGGCCAGTGGGAGAACTGATGTCAAAGAAACATTCCAAGGTGAGACCTGGCTTCCTATTGCCTTGATAGTGAAAAGTGCAAGTGTTAGTTGCTCAGTCGTGTTTGACTGTTTGCAACCCCTGTCCATGGAATTCTCTAGGCAAGAATACTGGAGTGGGTTGCCACTCCCTTTTCCAGGGGATCTTCCTGACCCAGAGATTGAACCCAGGTCTCCTGCATTGTAGGCAGATTCTTTACTGTCTGAACCACCAGGGAAGCCCTATTGCCTTGATAACTTGAAGACAAAAAGAATTTGGTTCAAACCTGGGGGTTCTGCAGGAAGGTATCACGGTTGTTATAGCAACCTCCTGAACGATTCATTAGGGGATCATCGTTCACAGTCCAGCATCCCACCACCGACTCCAGCTCCTTGCGGCCAAAAACTGGGTTGTTCACATTGCGGCAGACATTGAGTTCATGGAAGTTGCGGCAAAAGTCCTCCAGGCTCATCCTGAATGGATGGAGTGCAGGAGAGAAATGAAGATGGTACTTAATACCTACCCCTGCAGTTCCATGTGAAAGCCTCAATTCTCTTAGCACAGAAAACTTCTCCTCACCAAAACTCTCCATCATCAGACATAACAATCCCCAGGTTCTTGCGATCTGCTGCAGTCAGTTGTTGCCACTCTTCAGAACTAAAGGCAAATGAACAAAGGGATAAGCCAGTATGTTTGCATTGACTTCCTACAGGAAGCAGGATGCCAAAGGAACAGAATGTATGAGGATTGGGACAGCTTTGTTTCACTGTCAGCTGAGTCACAGACTCCATGCCTGAGAAGGACCCACAGATGTCACTAAGCATTGACAGCCCCTTAACAACCTGAGGGATGGGATTGGGAGAAGGCATAGGGTTTGGGGGATGCCGCCGTCAAAGTGAAAAGCCACTCACATCTCACTCCAGGGCCCACTCCATTCCTGTCTTCCCAAGGGGTTCCTCAGACGAATCAGGTACAGCTTCTCAGTACTGAAGACTTCCACAAGTCTTTCTCCAAGGCGGATCTTGCGAATATCAGTCATGGTGTAAGTATGGCCCTTCAGCAGACCCCAATCAGTTTCAACTTCTTGTTCCTCCTGGTCAGGAAACTGAGAACAAAAACACATACATAAGGGCACAAGAATTGGGAGAGCCAAGGCTTGGCTCCTCCTCTTCCTTGATTGGTTTACACCAGTATGGTTGAAACTAGTTCTCTTATGTACATGGAAATTTGTTCTTGCTGCCTAACTTGACACAAAGCAAGCCAAGGAAAAGAAGCAAAGAATTTAATATAACAACTCAAACAATACAAATGACCCATCGTAGTACATTGATATGAAGAGCATCAAAATTTCGTGGGACTGGTTAATTCTTTGAGCAAACAGCTATAACCTCCACATTCAGGAGCAGAGGTAGGAGGAATAATTTAGCAAAGGCTATTTATATCTGCTTGAATGCTGCATGGCCAGGTTGGAATGACTGGTACAAAAAGGTGATACGTTAAATATCCTTAGCCTCTGCACCAGGGCTCAGTGTCTCTTGTTAGCTTTCTGAGTTTCACAGTGGCTTGTCTTGGATCTCCAGGGTTAGGGTCATGTTCCACACTAAATATCATGGTTTCCTCCACCAAAAGTGAGTAAAGAGTGGTTTTGATGAGTACAAACCTCAATGGAGCAACAGATCAGACCTCCTTTGGTAAATGTTTTGTACAGTTCTTTAAACAGCTTGTACTTCTCCTCAACAAGATCAGAGTATCTTCCCTTCTGCATGTCAACAGTTTCAGCCAATGTGCCAGTGAAGTCCACAATGATATCACTGGTGGTCAGACCATCAAGGGCTTCATAACAGCCAAGGAGCCTAGGGGCAAATATGCAAAGTTACCTTTGTAAAATTATTTTTCCAGGTCTAGGACATCTTGTTCCCTCAAAAGTAGAACACTCCTTGTACAGTCAGTCCTTACCAGCTAGCTTTTCTCTAGGCACAGAAGAAGAGAGATTTTGAGACCATAGTCATATTTCTAGGCTTAGGCTATGTTGATCTAAGTTCATGAATGAAACTTCTTTCCGCCAGTAAATATTAGACAAGGAGGAAACCTGAGGCCATAATGTCATGTGATCCTTAGATTAGCCTCAGAAAGGGGGCACCTTTCTGAGGGAGCAGGTAGGGGTTTAATGGAAATTGGAACAGCTTATTTCTTTCTCATCTAGAATTATGGAGAGCCAGTCCCAGGTCCAGAGCAATGCCTTGGATCAGCCTGACATCCTACCCAAAGCTAAGCTGGGAGAGCGTGAGTATGAGTTCCCAAGGATGAATATGACCTTCCTTCCCTTGTGTAGCCTGACCACTGACTAATCAACCCCCTGCCTCCTTACTTGGCATAAGCTTTTTCCAACAGAGCATTCCAAAACTCATTCATGGAGGTGGAGAAGGAGAACACAAGATCTCCGTTGATGGTGGGCAGCAAGTCATCAATCACCACCTCAGTCCATTCTCCAAAATGCCAGAACCGGAAGTAAAATATCCCAGCATATTTATCTAGTTTTCGAGGGTCCCATTCCTGTTCCTTATGGTTGGGGATTGTCTGGAAACATAAGAACATTCAATCAGTCAACTTTTATTCACCAGACCATATCCAGATATTGAGATTACAGTTGACTTCTGGAAAATCCATGGGGCAACAGAAAGCACACCAAATACATTTGGCTTGGGTCTAAGTTAGGAAGTCCCTGGTAGGGCATTTTTTCCCCCCACAGTTTTTGCTTCCCCAGTTCAGTTTTGCTGAGAATAGTATTACCATGCTTGCCCTGAATACACATAGGATCATGGAGGGCAGCAAGTTATGGCTTAAATTATTTCCCACAGATAATCTACAAAGTCGATCATGAGAAACTGTCTACATAATCATATTCATGGTTGCATATTCAGCCCTATAAACAAGGCATTTTAAAAAGCAAAAATTATTCAAAACACAAGGCCCCCTGTGCTTTTAGAGGTCCACATTAGAGAGTTCGTGCAGATTCTATAGATGATAGATTTTATTCACACCTTGAATAAAATTACATTTTGGAAAGTCTCCTTTTAAAATTCAATTACACTTTCAGCTTCTAAAATTGTTTTTCTGAAGAAAATGCTCTACCTTTGTCCCAAATCAACACTTCATTGAGTTGAACTCTGCCTAAATGCCATAGGAATTTTTGTACTCTTAATAATTTATTAGAACCTTTTCAAGGATATATTTCCATCTTTCTCACCTTTTCTTTTATTCATATCTGTCAGTGACTTCCTGGATCCCAGTGGGTTTTTTTTTACCCCAGTAGGTACAGAGAGTGTAAGTATGCAGAGCTACTGAGTCAAAGTACTGCAAGTGAACAAAAGATCAACTAATAATGTGTGACAAAGCAAATAGAGCAAAATGTTAATGGTAGAACACAGGTGAGTAAATGGCTGTTGACTGTAAAAATCATTCAACTTTCTGTATTTGTGAAACTTGTCATAATAAAATGGAGGAAAATCACCTCCAATCATGAATACTTCTGACTTCAAGAATTAAGCAAGCTAAGAAGGTTACAAGCTGACTTTTCCTAAAATTACTAAAGAAGACAAGAAGGTAGAAGCCAAGTGAGGTCCTGAAGAAGGGAGAATACCTTTGTCCAGTGACACTCCTGAACAGCCAAACAGGAAAACGCAGAGATCATTGGCTTGTGCCCCAGTCTCCCTTGGGTCAGCTGGTGGTTGCTGATGTTGCCCACAATCAGACGAGGGTCATCGCAGATGTCCTGTGGATACAACAATTGGTTCTAAGATTCTGAGATGTGTTTCCTGTCAGACAGTGTGAGCTCAGCTGCGCAGGACAGACCTCACAGATGAGGTAAGATCAAAAGATGACCAGAATTTCCACGGGTGGGAGAAAGGGAAGGTTGTGGGGTTGTGAGAACAAACACAAAGCAGTAGATCATCAAGCCACAGGAAAAGAATCATGTGACAGGGTGGAAGGAGAAGGTGAGAATGAGACAGGATGAAATGTGCTAGTGCCCTCAGACATAGTTTTTGCAGCAGCAGCCAGTTTGTAAAGAAGAGAGCAAGGGATTAGCACATTACATTTTGATCCTATTTGTCAGGATGAGATTTCCTGAAGAGCCTGTACTTGGAAGGGTGATTGCATTTAAAAGACAAGATCTGATGGAGGTAGACATTAATACTTCTCCCTCTCTAGGAAAATGCGTTAGGAGACCTTATATATGAAACCCATTCCTAATAAAAAGCAAAGGAACAGTGGTCTCCATGGCAACTAGATTTCCCCACCTCCTTGGATGAATACAGATGGCAGCAGCACTAATAGCAGATGGTAATAGACTGTTCTGAGGAGCACTTCAACAGACACTCTTTTTCTCCAGTGGATGTTCCAAGGGATGCTGACAGACTGGCTGCAGCATTTGTTAGGGGTGTATGTGTGTCTTTCCCTAATATATCATTAGCTGTGCCACTCCCACCGCAAGGAGGAAAATGAGGCCCAAATAATACAACTACAACACAAAGTAATAGAGGCATTTTCAAAGTATAACCAGTGCCTGAAGGAAAGATCCCCAAGTTTCCCTGGTGGGAGGTGGAATAATTTGAAAAGTAGTGGCAGTGCTCAGGTTGAAGCCTTAAGAATGACTAGAGTTAGCAATTGGACACGGGAGTGGTATGGAGGTATAATGAGTAGAGAAACAGCATGGACAGAGGCATAGCCACATACATGACACCATATAATTTAAGACACGTTTGCGTGATTCAGAGTATCAGCCCTTGGAGAGTTCAAAGGCAGGAAATACCAATGAAGTCTTGGGTAGATGGAGACAGTTTCGTGGAGGAGGCCTTTGGCCAGTACCTTGACATTCTGCTTACCCAGCAGAAATAAACCCTAGTCTCAAATGGAAAGAAAATCTAGACATATGTCCTTTAAAAAATTATTAAATAGACATCTATATTTTTCTGGTTCTCAAAACTCTTTTTTTTAATGGACATAATTCTCTTTGATGAAGGGTCTGGTCTACAGAATGAAACATTCCATATATTCTTTAAAAGCCAAAATAACTCTGGGAAGGAACAGACATTCTGGGCAAGGACAAGACCAAACTGAAGATTAATTGGTCATCCTTTTGCCAAAAGGAGAGAGTTAGGTGGGTTGTCAACTTTGTATTTTCTGGTCTTTTTTTTTTAGGTGTCTCATCATTACTTTTTTGTCTTAGAAAAAGACAAAATTTTTTCATGAGTTGGGAACTGCCTGTTTTTTTCACTTACGGAGTATAGAGCAGGTATGTTGGGTGAATTCAATTTTTATATTCTTTCTCTTCTGTTTGTTCCTTTGCCCTTTCTAAGATGAAATGAAACCCAATTTTTCCTTTCTGAGCTATGCATTACCATTTTATGTGGAGCAAGATGAAAAGTTATATCATGATTTCCTGGACTTAGATAATGCATCTAATAATTTCCTAGCATGAAAAATCAGTAATGTGAACACTGATATGTGGAAAAGTGTGCTTTTAGATTATTAAGGCAAATTACTTGCTGGTTTTGTGTGGAGTTATTAGTGGCTGTGGTCACATTAGTCTTGAATTTCCACAAGGCTTTCATTCATAGCAGGGATCTAGGCTCAGCAAACACTTTTGGCATGTCAACTTCTATTTAAGACCTAAAGGATCATATAAATAAACAGAGACATGGAAGCAGAACTCAAATAGAGGAACTGTATAATTATTCTCTTATTGACTAATCTGAAGGTGATTATTTTATATACAATGTGTGTGTATGCATGTGTGTGTGTGTGTGAGATAGCACATGCTTGTTTGTAAAGCTACATGTAATCATGGGAGAATATATATTTGGGCAAAAAAAAAAACTCACCTTATTTTCCATTTCCTCTCATAAACTGACCCATGCCCCAGTTTTACTTCACCGCTCTTCATACATAATGGATGATTATTTAACAATGGGTTTAAAAAAATAAGTTAACAGTTCATAGACTGTTAAGCCTGAAAGGAATTTAGAGACTATTTAGTCAACCTGTTTATTTTCAAATGAGGCAACAGGCTCAGAGAAAGAGAGTACCTCAACCTTCCTGGCATTCAGCTAGTTAGTAGACCTAGGATTAAAGCTTTAGGTTCCTCACATACAGATAGAGAAGGAACCTCCAAACATCAACTAGTCCATCCTTTTTCCTTTAAAGTTTATTAATGGCCACCATGTAAAGGATAATACTGTGCAGTTCTTCAAGGATGGAGATACAACCAGCTCTCTCAGTCATCCATCCCAGGGCTTTTTGTCTCTGCTTAATGCTCACCAAAAAGCTCCTCCTCATTCTGGAAGACTGGCTTAAGACATGTTTTAGCTCTTGGTTCCAGGCTAAATATAATATTACCAATGAGCTTTAATCTCTTCAACTTTATCCACTAAATATGAATCAAACTCTTACGTATGTCAGCACCATGATGTGAAACATGGGAGAACATTTTTATCAAGCCACTTTTTTTTTTACCTCTTTAATGAAGTGAAAGACTGGAAACATCTAAGGAGGTAGAAAGGGTAAAGGGTAATGAGCCAATGCAAATCTACAGCCAAGTGGACTTTTCGGTGACAAATTTGGAAACAATGAAATGGCTTCTTATTGCATTTTCCCCTAGATTTGGACAACTGGGTATAATTCCTGTGGGGGTAAGGAAGCAAGAGAAATTTCCCTGGAGAAATTTCCCTGTAAGTCAAAGCTGAGATGCAGAGTGCAGATGGGACATTTCAGCCCAAGCTCTGCTGAAATGGTAGGGAGTGGAGTTGGAGGAGAGGTCACAGCTCACACAGTCACATATTTGGGTGGCTTGAGAAGTAGGGAAGATTGCTGAACCCCTAATTATTCCCAGCTGTGTTGGCGTACTCAACATGATCCTGGAACTGGGCTGTTTGTCAAGGCAAATCACTTCTTAGCGGGAAAACACACAACTAGGAAGTCAAGCACCAAGATTAAGTCCAGGAATGTTCTCTGCAGACCCCCATCCCAGAGCCAAAGCTTTCTACAAGCAAAGCAGCATCTCTAGGAAATATGTTGCCTTAGCTGAGCACTGAAAGGCCCTCTCATTGTCCTCACCTCTCCCTTCCCAGACTCCTCGGGGTCGGGGGAGAAGGGGGCTTACCATTATAAGCCTTGGAGCCCCCCACACTCTATATGGCACTTACCACATCCACATCTTTAGTGATTTTTTTTTTACACAGGTGAAATTTGCTGACAATAAACACTGAGGTCCAGGGTAAACCTCAAGAACCACAGTAAAGTGAAAGCCTGCCTAGAAAACCAGCAGCCAGAAGAACAGAGGCGCTTTCAAAAGTGCTATGGGCTGTCTAGCAGTCCTGTGGGGCTGGGGTCAGTGTGGATACTTACAAGTGAGGCTGGCCCTGTAGTAGGTACATTACGAGTAAGTCCAGGATTCTAAGTCATCCTGAAAGGCCTAGGGTTACCATTCAGGATCCTAGGGCTTTACCAGCTAGTTCAAGAAGTTATCTTATGCTTAGAAAATTGTACCATCTCCAGACACAACATGTAGGTGGACCTCCTCTCAGGGGCCAATGTTGGCCCCTCTGTTCAAGGAATCCACTTTCCTGGGGAGTTTTGCTTCTGTATGAAGATTTTATCATCGGTAAAACATTCTCTTCCTTCCTAATGCCTCCAAGGAAAATTCAATATGGATCTGTAGAATAATACCTTAAGCTCAGCTTCCACTTTCAAACTGGACAAGCAAGTCAGTACAGAATTATCTTTTTTAAACCTTCAGACTACTTCAAGGAGGTTCCAGGGGTAAATCCTAAACTGCTTTATTGGGAAAAATTTGTGTATCTGCAATGGGATACAGTTCGGCAATAAAACGAAACAGGTACATGCTACAACATGGGTGTTCCTTCAAAATATTATGCTAATCAAAGAAGCGAGTTACTTTTATGATTCCGTTTTAAGGGAAATGTCTGGAATTGGCAAATCTAGGAATGGGAAAAGAATGTTTTACCAACAGAAACCAAAAGTGGATTAGTGATTGCTTGTGACTGGGAGTAGGAGGGGTTTATTCACTGCAAATGTACACAGGGGATTGTAATGGGATGATGCAACTAGTCTAAGCCTGGATTGTGGTAATGTTTACATAACTGTAAATTTTTTAAAAATCATTGCTTTGATAAAATTGCTGAATTTTATGATATATAAATTATATTTTACTAAAGCTGTTAGTGTTTTTTTAAAATTCAGAATCTAAAATAAATAGGAAAGATGGTAAGAGTAAGGGCCTATTCAACTCCCTTTGATTGTGTCAACAGCTAAAAACACTTAGGACTATTCAGGTGAAGGGATGTGATTTCTGGGAAGAAAAAGGAATTCATGAGTAGTCTAGGCCCAAACTATACTACAAAGGTATTACATTCAACTGGGCGTTGGAAATTTCTATTGGCACAGAGAGATATGTTTCCTCCTTTATTGGTCCCTCTTATGTAATCTGGGCTTCGCTGGTGGCTCAGTTGGTAAAGAATCTGTCTGCAATGTAGGAGACATAGGTTCAATCCTTAGGTTGAGAAGATCCCCCTGGAGAAGGAAATGGCAACCTACTCCAATATTCTTGCCTGGGAAATCCCCATGGGCAGAGGAGCCTGGTGGGGTATGGTCAATGGGGTTGCAAAATGGTCGTACACGACTTAGTGACTAAACCACCATCACCACCATATGTAATCTACCACTGAGGGTTGTATATCCTGCTTTAAAAATCTCCTCTCAGCCTTTTCCTTCCATTCCTCCCACCTTTGCTTTAATACAGAACTTCATCAGCCTCTTCCCATACAAGGTAGTAAAATGGCTCCCAGGGAGAGTACTCCCTGGTGGAAGACCTGGGCAAGGTCAATGGTAGTGGAGGCTAAATTCAAAATTTGACCAGGAGAACTAACAGATCTTGTGCAGGTGTTGTGTGTTCTCCCATATTGGCTGTGCAAATCCCCACAAGGCCTTGCTCCATTTTAGTCGGAGATTAGTTGAGTCTGACTCAAGGACATGATTGTAGTAGGGTGTGAGTCAGTCAGGAAAAAAAAGCCACAGGTGGGTTGGAGGGAAGAGTGGCTGGAGGGAGATGGAGAAGAGACTTTCTGTGGGAATTTGGTGGTTAGATTTCAGCCTAAAAATCCTACCTGCCATTTTAGGATCACATGGTAACTCAGTAGAACTCAGCTCTTCAAAGTTTCTAAGGTCCAGGAGGACAGGAAAGCCCAGGAATACAGGTCTCAGGGAATATACCTGTGTAGCCAGGAAGCAAGGCCAGTAGCTGGGGTCATTGGACCAATGGAGGCCTTAAGGAGAAGGATTTTCCTCTGGAGGATATGGGCCAATGAACTGGCATGGAACAGTTGCAAAAACCTTCTCATAATCCCTGTCAATCTAAAGTGGCTCCTTAGGACACAGCAGAGAAGTGGCAAGTGGGAAAAAGAGGAGCTCAATCTTGCCCTAGGATGGTGGGGCTTGACTGCAGTTGGTTGGTTCAATTAGCAGCAATGTTTACAGACACAGAGGCTGTTCAACCCAGAAGGGGAAAGAGACAGAAAATATCAGGTTAATCGTGCTTCTTCCCTTTCAGAGTCTTCAGAAAATAACCCTGCTTGCCAATGAGGCAGTGAGTCCAACGACCCGTCGTGTCTTCCTGAGCCAATTTAGAGAGGCCTAGGGATGTCTCTCAGCTTTCCTAATGGGAGGCCAGAGAACTTTGACGTGGTTCTTGACCACAGGCTTGGCCTCCACTCTGACTGGAAACTACTCTCCAGCTTTTTGAAGATTCAGATGGTGGTCCAGAGCCTTGTTTCTTCCCCTACTCCCCGCAAAAGGTCCCCTCCCCAACCACTTCAATCCACTATGATCTCCCCTTCTTCAAAACCCTATGTTGATTTACTGTCTGTATGCCTAAAATAGCATTTCCTCTATCCAGCATTAATTTATTATTTAACTCTTTGGTAGCTCAGTATCCATCTCTTCTACTATAATGGGAGTCCCTCATCTCAGATCTTGTCTGTATCTTGTATAGAGGCTGGCATAGAGTAAGTGCTACATAAATATTTCTCAATTGACTCTCCCTTTGGGCTGAATAAACACTAAGCTCAGAGTATGCTCTCAAAAGGGAGGGTATGGGTCAATTAATAGATGTGCAGCATCAACATGGTGAGGAGAAATGTGAGAACTCACTGGAGGGAAGCTATGTATTTTATCAAAAGACACACAAGCAAATCTATGTTCCCTACATGGCAGTGTGGTTGGGTAAATACTAATACAGGCTTTGGAGTCAAACCTGGATTCAAATCCCAGCTTGTTAGCAGTCTAAACCTGGGAAAATTCTTACCTTCTTCCTGAGACACAGTTTCCTTACCAATAAAATGAACATAGTATCCACCTTTCTTTTTAACACTGGGAAAAAAAGAATTATATCAAAGTGGATTTTTAAATACCTACCTTGCTTTGCTGTTGTTGTTTAGTTGCTAAGTCATTTCCAGACTTTTTGTGACCCCATGGACTGTAGCACACCAGGCTCCTCTATCCAAGGGATTTCCCAGGCAAGAATACTAAAGTAGTTTGCATGCCCTCTCCAGGGGCTCTTTCCAACCCAGGGATCGAACTTGTGTCTCCTGCATTGCAGGTGGAGTCTTTACCACTGAGCTACCAGGGAAGCACCTTGCTAAGCCATAGCAGATTAGTATGAAATTTTTAAAAATGTATAGAAAACCCCAAACACAGTATTTGGGCAAATAGCAGACAAGCCCTAAATGCTGATTCCTTCTTCTACCATCCCCATTTCCCTTCTCTTTCTGACACTCCCTCACCTTCGAAGGAGTATCGCTTACCTCAGAGGCAAGATGGATGATTGCCATGGTTATTTAAGTTTTTTCCTTCAGTGCTAATCCATCTAGGACTCAATCCACAGAATTTGAAAGATGAAGGCAAAGGACAAAGGTCTGAGCCAAGACAGAGGGGGGAGGATGTGTCTAAAGATGGCCCAGTACAGGAAGCATTGCTGGCTTGGTTCACAACTGGGGAACGGCTTCATGTTGGCTTGTGTTTTTATAGCCCATCAGATCCGCTGCCACCTCCTCCAGGACCTCACCCCCATCCATTATCCCTTTTTTCTTCTGAGTCTTTAACCTCTTCTACTTTACTATTTCCTCCTTAGCCTATAAATATGTTCAAGTCTGTCCTATTCGTAAAAGACACCCTCCCCTAGAAAACCTCCCTCAATTTCCTGCTTTCTTTTCAGCTACTTCTACCCTATTGACCTCCCTTTTTTCATAGCCAGTTATCAAAAAAGAGTGATGGTCCTGATTATCACCATCCAGAGTGGCTATCAAACAGCATATTTCTATTTTCTCCATGTGTTTCGGGAGAAAAAACTTACCTCTCTCTATACTGAATTTGTGGCTAATGAATTTGGCTCATGTTTTCCAGATTTGTTGGTAGGTCAGTGATCTACAAGGGTGTCAATAACCAGAGGAATAGAACCCAGCAGGAGTGTAATCTTCCTTCTGATGGAGAGAACTTCTCCAAGTCATATTCTCAATGGCTATTATACTTTATGGGCAAAAACAGAGACATGCCTTTGAATGATGTAGAAAACAAGCAACTTAAAGTGATCCATGTGTCTTGGCACCCCCTGGTGGCAACCTACATAAAGTGAAGTAGCTCATGTAAGAATCCCTTTTAGGAGTTCAAGTTGTGGAAATTGACACTAAAGAGTGATAGCTTGTTCATTGAAGAAGGCAAATCTTGAGTTGCTGACTGAGATGGTTCCACAATAGTGCACAGAAAGGTATAATCGTGAAATAAGATCAAAAGGTCTTCAGGATAATGTGAAGGTCTACGAATTTGCATTTCATAACAACCCTAAGTGACCTGTATACCTGGTCACCCACTTTGGGAAGGAGCCCAGATTGAATATCCTTCTAACTTGGCAGACTCTTTAGATTTAACTAGGTTACTATTTATTCTCCAAATGCCATCATCCTATCATTTTATACATTGACCTCCTGCTCACACAGGACTTTTGAAGAGATTCTGACACTTGCTTTAGAGATACCATCTATAGATGCTCCAAAGAGAACCATAGCAACTATTAATAAGTGGAGAAAGAGCTACAATCTTACTTGGATCCCATATTGCTAATGGTGGCGGATGCAGATGACGATATCTAAAGAGCAGCAAAGAAGCCTCCCTCCCCCAGTTCAAACTCCATCTTGTTCCTGTTGAGTTCGTTTCATTTATGCTCACCATATAAAGAGGGAGGTGAGAGGGGGGATTGGGATGGGGAATACATGTAAATCCATGGCTGATTCATGTCAATATACGACAAAAACCACTACAATATTGTAAAGTAATTAGCCTCCAACTAATAAAAATAAATGAAAAAAAAAAGAGTAAAGAAAAGGTAAAGAATCTGCCTGCTATGCGGGAGACCCGGGTTCAGTCCCTGGGTTGGGAAGATCCCCTGGTGAAAGAAATGGCAATCCACTCCAGTATTCTCGCCTGAGGATCCCATAGACAGAGGAGCCTGGTGGGCTACAGTCCATGGGGTCACAAAGAGTCGAAAATGACTGAGTGACTAACAAGCCTATATAAGGAGTTTTTTCCTTACTGGTCTGAGATTATCTTGAAGTTGATCTGAGTGGTAACTCAGTAAAGAGATGAGAGTAGAGCTTTTTGAGTTACCATATTTACTCAAATGAACTTCCAAAAGAAAACAAGAACAGTATCTCTCTCTTTTGGTTCTTTCTAAATTACTAAATCTGATACAATGTGATTAAAACCCAAGATTCCTCATGTTAGAGTCAGAAGCCCAGATCCATAAAACTTCTCATTATAAAGTTGTCTGCTGGGAATTTTTAGGGCAGTGGAAATATTCTAACACTATAGAATTATGGATGTATGTCACTATACATTTGTCCAAACCCTAGAATGTATACTAGGAGTGAACTCTAAGGTAAATAATGAACTACGTGTGATAATACTGTGTCAGTGTAAATTCACCAGTTGTAACAAAGGTACCACTCTGAGAGGTGGCATTTATATGGGAAATCTCTGCACCTTCCTCTTAATTTTGCTGTGCTCTAAAAACATAAAAAAGATACTATGCTATAAAAATTAAAGTTGTCTGCTAAATTGGTCTATATGCAGCGGGCTGTATGAGTGAAATAGTGAACCAAGTAGAATTATGATGAAAGAGATCAAGAGGAAGACAGGAATTGAAACCACAAAGTTACCTGGGGGCGTTTCCATATCACCTTTCCAGGAAGCAGTCGGTTGTAGAAAAGTGAATCATTTTCAGGCAAAAAGGTTGGATCACAGAAAAGTCTACCATCCCTGATGCATTCCTGCTTCAGTTCCTGGTACTTCTGGTTTTTGAAGAACTTCAGAGGAGGACCCATAATGTCAAACTATGTCTAAAATGAGAAAATTGTTGTTATTGAGAGAAGAAGTTCTCAAGTTTTTGAAAGATTATCTGAGATTAGACCAACAGATATCATCCCAGTGATTTATTCCTGGATCTAGGCAACTTGAGTTTAGTTTTAAAGGAGAAGTCACCATTTTGAGGGAAAGAAGATCTCAGAACTCTGCAACAAATTAGTTAGTTTGGGGCTTGGGGTAAGGCATCTAAATCATTTCCAGGTCTCAGTTTCCTCATATGTCAAATGGGTTAATATGCACTTTAACAATTTTACTGGAAAAATAGATAATAAATGTCAAGATTGAGAGTTAAACACGAGTCATTATAATTTAAAGGGCAATCTTCCATTTTCTACTGGCAGAGACAACTTCAATCACAGAACAATTCCAAATTTGAAGAGAAAGGGGAAGAAATAACTTTACTATGTTCAGAATAATTTGGTGCCTTGAAGGGCTACACACATGGTGCTTGAAGGAGAGAAACAGCCCCTTTCACTTCTAACAAGCCCTTTTACACAATTCCTTTCCTCTTATCACTAAAGAGTTCTGCATTATTACTGGCCAGGGAGACTAACACAAGAAACATAGCTCAGCAGATGGCCTCCAAAGACAAGGAAAGGTAGAAAGTTTGCATGTGTCTTTCTTCTTAAAAGTCTAGTGTGCAATCATTTGCCTGCGATAAAATTCAAATTACAGACTAAAATTCAATTACACTAATTCAGTAGACTATAGATTCTTATTCCGTGGCAATACACTGTTGCTTTCTTTTCTGAAAAAAATAATCATGGCTAAATAGAGAATTAATACAGCGGCTCTTTAGGCAATGTCTATCAGAGTGCCCCACACTCAGATGTCCCTAACAACTGGTTTTTATGAGGGTAATTTGAAAGGCAAATTTGATTTTAAATAACAGGGTTTTCGATGCCTTTTCGTGATTCACAAAGATATATTTGTAGTGATTTTAATGATCCTCTTGTGACAGTCAATGTTTAAATGTGCAGGAGTGTAAAATTTATATGGCACCAAATATTTCAAAAATTTATTTTAAGGATAACTGTGTCTACATTTTGTGATTACAGGAGGGTTGAAACAAAAGAATCGGGCTAAGGTCAGAGTATCTGCTAAAAAATGGACCAAATTTGGTGGGGAGCTAATTAGCACTTTCAAGAGTATCTGTGTAGTAGCACAGTTCAAAACTTAGTTAATAATGAGGCAGTTGCTATTTCATAACAAGTGCAATATTAAGCAGACCTCTTTAGGTCATTTTGTGTTCCTTCAGCATTACTTTGAAATGCCTTACTGGTGAAGAAGTCTCCCCATTTGAAAACCATAAAAAATCTTTAATTTGATGTTATTTGCAACCTCCAGTATATGTAAACAAACTTACCCTTTTTCTGAAGCCAAGGACTAAGAAGCTGAAAATAATCAGTCTTTCCACCAGTACTTGTTTATTGGCAATTGTTTTTCAAATGGAAGGCTACAGGATGCTGCAAATACCAAAATGCTTTTAGTCTTCAGGTTTAAGTCTGTCTATAGGTTTGAGATATTAATGTATATTTCATTGTATGTGAAATCCTGGATGGTATCGGTAATACGTTTCTGTTAGGCAGCATCAGAGCCAGTCTGAATGTGTGCCCAGGCTCCCTTCTGGAGCCTTTTACAAATGGATCCCAATTTTCATGTGTGCTCAAATTTATAACAAACACTACTGTGCCTCTTGGCTTTTCCTGGAAGGTTGGGTGGATTGCCAGAGGCTGGGGACCGCAAATGGGGGGTCGTCTGGGGCAATTAAGATATTTAGTTTGCTAGAGCCTCCTGGTCCCTGAACATTTTGGATAAATGAGTATTTCCTGTTCTTGGGAAGGCCCTCTGCCCCTACCAGTCTCCCTTGTTAGTTGGTCAACTGGCGAGGCAGGCAGGAACTTGCAAATTGAATCCCTGTTATATCAAGAGGGCCTGTCTACAGACAGGAATGGCATCAACTGAAAAGAAAATCAAGTTTAATTTTCAAAACTGGTATGATCCCAGTTGACTTTATCAGAGGCAGGATGTACAGCTGGTGTGGATCATTCAGGCCTTTGAGTGAGGACACAAGTATTCTGGAAGAGCACAGGAAATAAGGAAGAGCAAGCTACCAGCCTCAACTTTGACTGGTTCTGGTTAGAGTACAATTGTAGTCCCAAGTCCTCTTGGACTTGCATACTAGAATTGACCCCAATTTCTGATTAGGTAGCAGGAGAACTATATTCCATTTGTTGTGACCTTGGTTTCTTTGTGCCTCAATTTTCTCATGAGGGGAGTGGGGTTATTTATCCTCTCCTCCTTACTCTGTGGCTGTCCCTAATGAGGTGATTAGTGTATAGGTTTTTGAATACATAGAAAGGGCTCCATAAATGCAAGATATACACTGTAAGCCCTCTCACTGCCTGGCACAGAGCTAGGCACACAACCATCATTCAGGAAATATTTGTAGAATGGATGAATGCCTTATGGAGAAAATTCATGTTTGTGTGGCAAATTATTACTTGATGGGTGCATTTCAGCTCATGTTCCCTTCATGGCAGCTATGTTTAGTAGATGTTATCTGGGCCCTTCATTTTGTATCTTCAGAAATGGCTGCTCAAACAAGGAGCACCTAGAAAATGGTGGATCTCTGTAACACCAGATTTAGTGTACAGACTTTTATCACACCACACTGCTTCCTTTGCTCACTGCTTTCTTAAAGAAAGGGATTTTTGTTTGTTTGTTTGTTTGTTTGTTTTTAGCTCAGATGAGGAAAACCCTCCAAAGCAAACATGATACCTAACTTTGAGGCACTCTGCCTAGAATTTATTGCCGTGGTGAATATTGAAAAGGTCCTTTATTTCCATGGTTTGATAAGCATGGGAGAATCTGAACCCTTCACATCCCAGGGTTCTGCATCTCAGAAAACTTTCAGAGACTCACAAACTTGAATTGGGTTCATCATCAACAACTTGCCCTGTCAGGGCATAAGAGAGTGGAGAAGGGAATGTTCCTTCTTTGTTAACTTGCTGCATGCAGCTGTGAAGACCAGGGAGCCTCTAAGTTAAAGACCACATATAGGAAAGTCGGTAAACAGAATCAGAAACAGAATCAAAGCCGGGGCTGCTTTGAATATCAGCGAAAGGGAGCCTCCAGCTAACGAGAAGGGAAGGTTCGCATTTAAGAAGAGGGACCTTGTGTCTCGGAGGGCTAGTATTATGGGAGGCTGGGTGAAAAAGTGTGGAGTTTTGTATTGAGATAATGGTCTTCAGCAGTTCTGTTTGAGCAGGGCTCCTCCACACCCCAGGGTGTGGTGAGTTCGGAATTGCCAAGGGAAGTTGAGGGAGCCTGCCACGTAGAACACGAGGTCGCACTTAGGAGAGGGAGCTTTTGCTGCTCCCTGGACTGGAAAGCTCGGGCAGCTGGACAAACTCTTAAGAGGAAAATCACTTGTTCTTTACCTGTGGGTCAGCCTTAGAGTAGAAACCAGATTTTGCTCTAAGAATTCAAATCTGCCTCAGTTTATTCAAGAGTGATGATCTGATAGGAGAAATCCAGTCTGCGGTTTATAAACTGGTTTTGATTGGGATGAGTGAGAAGGGAGGGGAGGGCATTTAAGGAAGCGAGAGAGGGAGGGAAGGGGGCCCTCAGGGTGTTGTTTCTGGCTGGTTTCTCCTTTTCCCCCAGTTTCCCCCATGTACTCTACTTGGGGCAAATTTGGAGGTCAAAGCAGTTAGGCATTTGCAGAGCAAACTGAACACACAAGATTTAACTCTGCCCTGACATGAAGTCACAGCGACTTTCAGCACAGGGGACGACCCCTATCCTCACTCCTGCAGCTGTGTGCGATGAGAGAAACAGGGCTTGGAGAAGAGGAATTAATAAAAATCCAGCATCCGCATGTTATATAGAAGAGTGTGTTCCAAGTATACACAGGCAGAGGCATAGCCACACCTGTGGGCACACATCTGCTGTGGGGAACATATGGCAGTTCTGATTCAAATGGTTCGCCAGATAGCCTGAGGTCTGAAAGGGACCACAAAAGTGTTATGACCCAACCTTATATAGGACACATCTACTCTGCCCAGAGAGAAGACTCTGTTCAAAGAAATTCCAAGAAAAACAGAAAACACAATTTCCTTTAATTACATTGTTGCAGACCTCTATCAGAAAAAAAAAAAAATTCAAAATCCTAAAAAGAGCACAGGTAGTCAGGAGATCCAGGGTCAAGTTCCAAATACTATCATTTAGTGTAAATAACATCTCTGTCCCTCAGTTTCCCCATAAGAGCAATGGGGCTAAAATAGCTGCCCCATTCACCTCAGGGTGTTATTGGGGACAGCTAACAAAATTAGGAATATGAACGTGCTTTTTAACTATTACGAAGAAGACCAATGTAAGGCAGTAGTATTAGGAAACACTCATTTTGAGCAAATTAAATCTCTTTTTTGTCCTTATTGGGAAATGAGGATATTTGATCACGTATAAGACACTCACAAACATTCAAAAGACCAATGTAAAATGGCCCCTCTGCCTTTCGGTACCTCCCCTCTGTTCCACCTCTCCGTTCTGGCTGATTTGCCCCCCTAACCCTTTTCTCCCCATCTTGGCTTGAATAAGCCCATCCAATAATTCTGATTTTACAGCCTTTCAGAAACTTAATTTCAATTTTTCTAGAATGTTACACTGGATGGACTCTTAGAGGTAGATTGCTTAGTCCAATTGCTTGTTTTACAGGGAGGTAGAGGGACTTGTCCAAGGTTACACAGTTAGTGACTGAAACTTGGACCTCCTGACTCGTCTTTTTTTTTTTTTTTTTAACCACAAAAAAAGCAGAGGTTGCGGGAGCATGCAAACACAAAACCTCAGGACATTGCTTGTGAAAATGTGTATTGTCCTCTTCTTACAAGAATGCACTTAGGAGTTTTGTTTTTGAATTGCTGTCAGAAGGTGAGATGATTTCAAATCAAGGCTAATC